TAGTTATTCGAAAGCAAATGCACGGAAGGCAGTCTGCGGTCAATGAACATTGCGGTAAGAGCTGCTTCTAATAATGGGTAGATGATGCAATTAGTCTTAGGCTAACTTGCTGCAATTAAAGAACGAACCAACAATTTTTAATGTCCTACTAAAAACAAATTTCAAATTGCGAACATTTCTTTTTTTTAATTTCAAAACATTTCTAAAATTGGTGAACGCAACGCCTTTAATGTTTCTTTCGGCAACTCAATCGATCAAAATATGTATCAGTTAAATGCCGCTTTTATCCCTGGCTAGAATTTTTATAATATTCTGCATACATTACTCTGCAATCAACTCCATATATATGTATTCGTAGTTGCTCAACAAGCAGATGAAGTCAGATTCAAAAGCGGTTCAATCAATTTGCGCCGACATGAGCACATCTTCAGCTACAACGTCAATGACGTCAATTAGTCCCTACCACTGATGCACATATATATATAAGCACTATGTATGTATTATCATTTTGAAGCATACCTAATTTAATTACATGAAAAATCAATCAAGCGAAAATTTTTTGGTCGACACCAGGCAACAGGTCAATGGGCATGCCTTGAATCATCAAATAATATTTTTCCGTGTGAGATTAAAATCAAAGTCTTCCGCCCGAGCTATTATCTGCAAACTGTGCTATTCAGGGTACTTAAAAGCTTATGTAATTTTCTTCACGAAGTTCTTTTGAATTTTCTTCAAATGGCGCCGCACTGTGTTCCGTTTTGGAGAGAAGGGTCAAAATAAAATATTTCGAGAACGCGAAGAGGTGGCGCAATAAATATAACTGTACTTTAACAAATTTCGAGATGGAGTGTTAAAAAAAAATTTCTCGTAAGATAAAAGAATTTCCAGAAACTTTAAAATTACCTTCAAACATAGAAGACTTCCAACAGTTTAATTTTTTGTTTTACCTGAATCAGTATGCAATGAAATTTTAAAAGTTTTAAACATATAATTTTGCTATTCTTGCATAAAGAAATCAATTTCAGTAGGCGCAAAAAATAAAAAAAAAACGCTTTTACATTTTTTTCGAGTTCATTTCAAGCTATTTTTATGTCAAAAAAGACAAGAAATTAAAAAAATTTTACTTTTAAAGTTCATGTTTTTGAGGTCAAGTTAATTTTTCTTACAAAAGTACAATTTTAGATTTTTTGCCTTTTTTAACCTAAAATCAGCTCGTAATAAATAAAAAAAAATTAAATGCGTTTTTTGGTTTTTGCGATTATGGAAATAGATTCCAAGAATAGCAAAAATATATGTTTAAAACTTTTTAAAATGTTCACTGCATACTGGTTTCAGGCCAAAAAAACAAAAAACTTATACTTTTTGTTTAAAACTCATTTTAAAGTTCAAGGTAATTCTTGCATCCAACGACACTATCTTTTATGAATTCTGCATCTCAAAAGCTTTAAAACGCCGCTAAATTTATTTCGCTATCTCTTCTCGTCTTACAGATTTTTGATTTTGTTCATTTTTCCGAAATAGAGCACTGTGCGCCATTGTTTGAGATTGTTTATACAAATATATACACACATGCAGGCATAGGTATTTATAATCAAAAACTGGGTATGTACCTAAACATTATTGTGCGTATGTATGTATGGAGGTACATATATGCATTCGATGACGCGTGTTCTAAATTTGAAAGCATTCTTGTGTGAAACTAAAGACTTAAGCTGCGAACGCAGCGGTATTATTAGTCTGTGATACATTGCTGAAGGTGTCTCAGTATAATCTTACACAGTTGAGTTGTTTATGCGGTGTGCTTATTCTTAAGAAAGCCAAAGTAGGAGAAAATCTTTAAAATTGATTATACTCGTATATATTTCACTAATTTTTTAAAAGATGGGAGATGAAACCCAGGATAACACTGGATATACATAGCGGTTGCTAGCCGGTATTCTTTCGCGGTATACTAGTATGCTAGGACGCTCTTAAACAGAGGAGCAATTTTATTTTAATTTTATTTTAGCTGATTTACATGCCAAGCAGACCGAATACAGTATCGCTATTCAATTGAACACCTTTAGTAGGTGGTAAAGTAAACTAGCGAGTAATAGATGACGTACCTGCAAAACTGTGAGAATGATGAAATGGGCAAAAATTCATACCAAAATTTAATATAGTTTTCAGTTAGGGTGACACGCTAACCTTGGGACATTATTTATTTCGATAACTCAAACAATTTTAAAAACTTTATCAATTTAGTTAACTCGTTACATTTCAGTTAGTCGGTAATTTGCGACAATTCGATACGTATTGATAAGTTCGTTGAATTTCAAAATCTCTAAATTCCGATCGCTCGATACAATTTGATAACTCTTCGAATTTCGATAACTATCGATAAATTTAGATTACTTTGCTTTTCCAGAACTGGATAAATTTCGATAGCTCAAAAATGTAAATATCTCGATGCTAATCGATAGCTCGCATTTGATAGCTATCAACAAATTTCGATAACTGATTACATTTCAGTTAGTTGACAATTTTCGGCGATTCGATACGTCTTGATAGCTCAATAAATTTCAAAAACTCAAAATTCCGATAACTCGATAAAATTTCATAACTCTTCGAATTTCGATAACTATCGATAAACTTAGATTACTTTGCGTTTCCAGATCTAGGTAAATTACGATAGCACAAAAATGTACATATCACGATGCTTATCGATAACTCGATGCACTCTAGTAACTCTATAAAATTTCATAAATCGATAAATAGTGATAACTCGATTAAATCACGTCATTCTAGAAATATCGATAACCCGATATATTTTGAAAATTCCAAAAACTTCGATTGGATAAACCGAAAAAGTCGATGACTACCAACAAATTTCAATAAATCAGTAAATATCGATAAATCTATAGTTTTAAAGAACTCGATACATCACGACTAGTCGATGAATTTCATTTGTTCGATAAACTTTGATAGCTAGAAGCTTTAGTCGCTCGATAAATATTGATTATACAATAAATATAATATAAAATAAAATTTTATTAATTTGATAAGTTTCAATAATCCGATAAATTTTTAAAACTCGATAACTATCCATACATTTTGACAACCAAATTTCTGCGTCTCGATAAATTTCCATAACCCAATAAACATATTTCAGTACCAATAACTCGATGAATTCCGATAACATAATTAACATGGATGATCCGATAAATTTCGGCAGCTATAAACTTCGGTGATAAGAAACTTGATAACTTCGATAACTAAATTTCCGATGGCGGTTTTTATCGAAAAATTTTCAAGAAATTTTGTTACCCTTTCAGTTTTCCTAATTTTTATGGATGTTATATATAATCGCCAGAAAACACAAAATTATGGTAGCGTATTAATATATAGCTCAATAATATACATATATAGATCATTATAAATGCATGCTCAAAAAGAGCAGCACACCCTAATAATTCTTCACTCCATTATAAGGAAGTTTATGCATATCGATATTCCAGTACATATACCCGCCCTTTGGATAGTAAGTATGCAGCACCTAATGATCGTAACCATATATTTTATCTCAGTTCATTATAATTTCGTCGAATAAATTTCCACATATGTATGTAAGTACATGTGTGCTTAACTACATTACCATATGCCAGAAATCGGCTCAATTTTCTAATACCTTATAATTTATTACAATTTTCCCCCAAATTGCAGCACAAATTTCTATACCAATTATCTCGAAGGCAGAAAAAAAACACAAAAAAGCAACAAAGAATGCATACGTTATTATTCTAATCTATGCAACAACTTACCAGCAACATCCAATTTGTGCACCGCATCGTTTGCTCCAGCCACCGCCACTGCTGCTGCTGCAGCTGACGTCTCTATCGTCGCAGTCGCTGTGGTCGTTAAGAATTGAGCATCGTCGTCGTCGTGGTCGTCATCATCATCGTCGTCGCCGTCGTCGCGTCGTTGTCTCGTAGTGCAACTGTTGCTTTTGTGGTTGTAGTAGCTGTTGGCGCAGCTGGCGAAGCAGACGACGTAGAAGTCGTTGAACTATCACTCAACAACACAGCACTGCTAGTGGACTCCTCCACTGCATCAATGGCCGCCGTTTTTATGCCAGTTTCGGCTGCATGTTGGTGGAATGATGATGCATTCAACGCTGACGCAGCTTCAGTTTGTGCTGTTGTGTTTCTAAATTTTCAGCAGGCAACGTAGTAGGCGCAGCATCACTACCAGCCACAATTGTTGTCTGCACATGCGCGTTTGCATCATTGCTCTGCAATTGCTCCTGAGCTTTAACCATTTGTATGCTACACAAAAGTAATCCACAAATAGCGGTGATGAGAAATAGACGCGAAATCGCGCTGCTTTTTGTTGGCATTGCTGGCATAGTCGCGTATTTTCTTCGTTTGCCGTATTGAGCGTACATTGCGGAGTTTTGCGAAATTTGTTTCGTTTTATTGTTGTTTTTTTTTTTTGCAATTTATTTTTTTTTTTGGTATAAATTTTTTATGCAATTTTTTTTTTTGCTTTTTTTTCGTGCACTGCAACTTTGTGTGCGCTAATTTAATTCGTACAAGTGCTTTGCGCTTTGTTGATTTTCTCACTGTATTGGTTGATTTTCCAATTGCACTTCCCTGTTTCGTCAGCCGTACTAGGCTTCTTATGATTTTATTGTGCTTTACTTTTCCACCTTTCGTTGGAGTGGCAGTTTCGCGAACAAAATTTTTGTATAAATTTTTTACGATTTTTGGCTATTATTCGACCACAAATTGACGGCTTCTTGTTGGCTTTACTGGGAACGTTGATAACTTATTTCACTTTACGTGATGTTGCTTATGGAAAATAACCGTTATTTCTCCCTATTTTTTCGGAGGGGTCGCGCAATTAAGGTCACTTGGTATGTATTTTGTGGCTTTTGTTTGACACGATTTTTAACAGAAAAAAATGAGTTTTCTAATTTCACAATCACATTTTCATTCTAATAGAATTAACTGTAAGGAAAAGGAGATATTTAGTGCTTACTTTAGACATACATATAAATTCTAATTTTTTGCACTCTTTTTAAGATTATTTGTCTTTTCCATGCACTTTTATGCACAACTTTTGCTTAAAATCAGTATCCACTTGCCCACAGAGGTGCACGAATTGTCACAGAATGAGTTGCTCGCTTAAGTCTTTTGTTTCTAGTGCAGTTTTTTTTTTGTTTTGTTGTGGTAAATTGGTGCCGCATTCGATTTGCCGCCAATTAAAGATAAAACGCATTAGTATTTCACTTCCAAATTTACTTAAGTGCCCACACTCGTACAAGCAATCAACCAACCGCTAAGATTTTTATGAGTTTATAAGCGTGTTTTGGCAGCTAAGACAATCAGCGTGAAATTTTCTCTAATGATTTTATAGAGTAGTAACTGAAAGAAGGTTTAAGAAATTACAATATATTTATAAAAAAAATCATGGAGAACATAACAACAATATTGGTGTACGATGTGTTGTAATAAGGAAAAAATTATAAATTTTTCAGAAAATTGCATGAATATCAGCGTTTGTTTTTGATTCTAAAAAATTACCAACACATGCTACGTGCGCGCAAAAATTATAAAGAAACTAAAAAGAAACTGCTGTATACGTATACGAAATGCGCTAAAAAGTTAGTCATACTAAAAACCGGTCTTCGTTAGGGCCACCAAATGGCAAAGTTAGAAAATATTTTTTTCTCGCTGCCTGCAGAATCAGACAGAATTTTTTTTTAGCCAATGAGCGGTGATGAGAACAGCGAAGGCTTTGTTATTTGATGTTTTTTTTTGGCTTTGAAGTTAGTGATGTATCTTAAAAGATAAAATTTTTTGCAGATTTTGTAAGCTTATTTTTGCTTTTCGAGTTCTTGCAATTACAAGCACCAAGAAATTGCTTTGCGCTGCTTAAAAAATTTCAATTCAAAAGAGGTCAACGCTTGAAATATCAGATTAGTTACCGCAATCAAAGGTATTTGTATGATGCACATTCAAATGATAGGACTAAGAAATTAAATTTTTGTTTCGTTTTAAGTTGTTTTAGTCTTTGGAATCAATATTATTTTAATTAGCAAGGGATACAAAAAGGTAAGAAATTCATGAAGATCAAAAATAGCTGCAGCCAAATTGAGCAGTCCGATTGGGTTAACTGATAACCAAAAGGAGACCATCCAAGTTTTTTTTTTGTCCAGATATTTCCTATAAAGTTAATAAAACCGTTTCTTCAAGGAGTCATTCTTGTTGACAAGCTCTAACTTAACTTCTGTTCTGGTGGTTAACTGTCCGAGTTAAACCAGCTGCAAAACCTTAATAATCCTTATGTAAAATGTTTTATTTTGCTAGCAATGGACAAGTTATGCAACAATTTGCAGAAAGAGGATAGATCCACAAAAACATTGGAACTTCCTTCAGCTCACACGCAGAAACCGATTTTATCTCATTTAGATACCGGATCACAGTGGAATTATGCGCAATGAAGTAGTAGGTATTATAGTGAGTGTTCTCATCGGTCCGCCACGAAGCTCCGTTTGGCGAATGCGGAAGGCAAAATTATTGAAAAACTGCAAAAGGTAACAAACAAGCGGAATCCTCCATGCCAGAAAAAGTGACAAGAGTTAAATCAAAACACCTTTCCTGGAATGTTTAAGAATTTTTACAGGCTTTCTTGCAATTTTTTTTAGAGTGACGATGCAGGATTTAGTGCGAGGAACATAAATTTATTTGACAATTTTTAGCCCTATTAGGGCCAGACCAATACGAATTCATACAAGGTGGCGCTGCCGGAATAGCTGAAATTTTGTGTTTTTTATGCATTTGTGGTGTTTCTTGCTGTGATTTTGAGCATAATTTGTAATTGTAATTTTTGTTTTTGCTCCACCGATACCACCTTGTTTGTATAAATTCGGACTGGCCAAGACTTTGATTCCTAGCATCACCGTAACTGAAAGGCAGGCACCTGAATCGCACTTCGCCAAAAGATGCGACATTTTCTCCTTCTCTAGTTAACAATATAATCTAATCTAGACTTCAAATATAGAAAAAGTCCTTTATAAAAAAATTCGTTCTACATCATTCTCACCATAACTTTCAAATAAACCTAATAAAAATTCATTGTATGGATGTAATATATTCGCCATATATTTCTGTATTCATAGTTACATAGTACAGTTACTGTTTGTTAAAAAAGGTAAAATTCTGATTCTACCGCGAAGAGATAAGCTAGTGCAACATTTCAAGGTCGATATTTGTAAGAAAGTGCCTCTAGACCATGCGAGGAGTATTCGATAAACCATAAGCTCAGCATGATTCAGGTGGTTTATATAAATCAGAAATTGTATTTGCTTTTCTTTTAGCCTACATCTACACTTTCATATGTATGTAGTATTTATATCAGTAAATGTTTCAAATCGAAACGGAGCAGCCAATATTTCAATTTATCAAAAGTAGAGCAACGTCTTTACTTTACTAAGCTGAATGCGCCCCACTATATTGCTGCTTCCTTCAGCATATTCAAAGCCAACTGATTTCTGTTATTTCATTTTTTCTTTTGTAAGTTAAGATTATATTTTTTAGTTAAATTAGCTTTTTCATAAAAAAGGCATCGAGATTTGTAAAATTGTTAAAAACGAGTTATTATAAGGCCACCAATAACAAATCCTAAACTTTTATTGGTATATATTTCAATTCTCTGAGTCTATTAGCATTGCGAGCCTGGAAACTGGAAAATTCTTCTTAAAATTTTTAGCGCAGAATAGCAGGAATGTCTCTATAAAAAAAATCACATTAGATACCAACAAACTTATATTTGTTTAGCGTATATGTATTTACAAACATATCGTCGCTTAAAGTACAAAACTGCGTCTTGTCGTTCTGCAAAACCGCGTATCTGCTATTTTTTGCCAAAAATTGGATCAGGTCACACAAGCTCTTGGCTCAAGCTTTATCCTTTCGTCCTGAAATATTCTAACCAGAAATGCGATTGCTTTACAAAAAAGAGAACCGTTTTGAAATAGTGTTTTTACTCTCTAGAAAATAATTTTTTTTGCATTATCTTGATACGCGGTTTTGCATTTTGTTGATACGTGGTTTTGTACTTTTAACGACGATAATGCACACTGACAAAAATATGACCTATGAAACTAGTGGATTGTCCGTAAGAAAATTTCTTGGTCAAGGGGTACAATATACGAAAACAAGCCGATTATAAATATAAAAAAATATATACAAATTTTGGAGTATCTAAACAAGTTTGGAACCGCCCTTGAGGTACCTCCTTTCCGAAAAAAAAAAAAAAAGAATTATCGAAATCGGTTCACGTGGTCCAAAGTTACTAAGTTATATCAAAAAATGTTACGATGAATTTAAGTCGATTAAAAACAAAAAAGTCCCATATTGATCTTATAAAAAATTCTGATATCCCAGTAAAGTTAGACATTTAAGGTTACAATAATACGCTGAAAATTTGTACGAATGTTAGGAACACGCTTGTAAATGAAATGTGAAAAGTTTCCATCGATGCCAGGTCTGCAAAATAAAAATTTATTCAAAGTCACATATCAAATATATGAGTTTTTTTCCACTTTTCAGCCACAGTAAGCAACGGTAACGTTTATCGTGAAAATAGGTTAAACTAAAATGAAAATCATGCTACCTTCTATACAAATTGTGCCAACACTTTTATTTCTAAGAATTCCAACTTCTGAGCTGTAGCAATTCAAAAAGTTGTGTTCTCCATAACGTGCACACATTTCCTGAGTGAGCGCTGAAAACAGAGCTGAGCGGCTCCGCACACCACAGATTGCATGCGAGAATCAGCTTAGTTTAATTTTTTTATATTAAAAATATTTTGCATAAAGTTCTGTAGGAAATATTTATTTAAGGAGCAAGTGTCAGGAATTCAACCAATAAATCAAAGACGAAGTGAATTTCATCAACTATATGAAGAGTTCCGCTTGAAAATTGAAACTTTTGATTATATTCCGAAAAGGTTTCAATGAATATTAACAAAAAACAAAAAATTGAAATTTCTTTATTCGATTATGATAGCTTATATTTTTTTTTGCTCCCAAAGAGCAGGGCGAGAAAACACTTCACTCATTAAAATATCCATATCCCTAACTTTGATTAAAATCACTGGCAACCACCTCTCAAGATAATCGGCTGAATAACAGTTCAAAACTGGTTTTCTCGCATTTGTACGCTCTGCGGTATCAGCGCGATATTTTATGAAACTGTATGCATTTCATAGAGCTTATTTCTCGTATTCAGCATCTTGATTCTCGGCTCGGATTTCAGCTTTCACTCTGCGGGTGCCCTTATGCCTATTACATGACTTATTTATGGTTCTGTTTAACTAAATAACATTGCATGAAATAAAAACAGTAACATTGTAGGTGATGGAATCCGTGTGAATTATGAGCAATTTTAGAAAACTATTCGTCTGATTGATAATTACTTTTATGTAAAACTTTCCACTAATCCGAACATGAAGTAAAAATATAAGAAATTAGAACATTTCGGCTTAATTGAAATCTTCTTTTTCGATATAGCTGGCGAATCTTAAATTCCTTTTTAAACCAGTGAAGCTTATTAAATTTGCTATCATCTGTGTCAAAGATATTGTTCAACCGGATTTGTAGTTAGCAGGTATTCATTGATTAGTCGCTAATTTTGCATAATNGGCCTTGGCTGTTACCAACGTTCGAACCAATTTTTACAATTTTTAAACCCTTAGAAATAATTTATTATTACTTTTTTTATTAAGCTTGAGGCCGTTTGTAATGAA